TTAAAAATATAAATGGTGCAAATTCATGCTATCAGCGCCACCGATAAACATATACAACTTCTTTACAATCCCTTTAATAAAAATCCGTACTTTGACATTGTCGGTTGTATAAGATCCAGACGTTTGACTTAAACTATTAAATGAAATGGCATGAAATAAACAGTTTTAAAAATGTTCATATTTGGCTGAAAACCTATAGAATCAATCTTGAAAGATGTAGAAAGGAAACAGTTCAGACAACTGTAATATAATATACATCAAACGTATTCAAACAAAAGATTCACTCATTGCAGAAAGCCATAAATAAATTGAGAAATTGCCGTTTTTTCTTATGGCCCCGTCACACTGGTCCGCGATCATTTGCGATTTTACGGCGACTAATAAATGTACTTGGTCGCCGCGGAAAACGTGAAGAAAACGTGAAGAAGTCCCTTAAAATTATAAATTCTACAACTCAGGGCGTTTTTCTAATAAAATCTTTGGGCTTAGTGAACTTTATTTTTAGCGTTTATGGAGATATAACGACGCTTGTCTAAAGACATTCTTTATTCCCTGGCTATCTCAACGGCGGTTATTGGCGACAATGGCGCCGACCGTGCGATATCTGACACTTACTTCACGCTTATACCAGGCTTATGGCTGCCTTAACATGCTTTAAGTTAAATATCCGTTGCCGTAGTAGCTCAGTAAGGACGCCATTCTGGTGTGACGGGTCTGTTAGATATTTGTTACTCGATTACATTGCTGTAATGACCACATGAAATAAATACTCGCACTGCGGTGGTCTTAGCGTGTTCAACATGAATTTCCAAACATCAAAACGAATTAAAATTGATACCTTGCCTACACAGATTTTCTGCTGTGTTCTCTAATTGGTCTGCTACTTTCGATTTTTCTAGTATGATGCATAATATGTTGGTTGCTGTCATTTCTTCAGCTTGTTGTGAAATCTATTGTCATTATCATTCCGATTCCAAGTCGCCATATGATACATCTGAATTCAAAAATAAAATAAAGGTAATAAACGCTATGATCACCACTGGCTCAACTTGAAAAAAAGGGAGTCTGTGGAAATAAGTTGGTTGAGGCCCCTCCCCCGGATTTTAACATACGCGGTATAAAAGGGGGGTCATTTGCCAACCCCCCCCCACCCCACTCCTAAGAAAAGTGGTTTGCACCCCCAATTGTACCCCCACTTTATTTTCAACAAATCTAAATGTCCACTTTTTTTCTCCAAAATATGTTCCAGGATACACAAAATCAATTCATTTTTTCTCAAATTTTCTTGAGAGAACCCTCTAAGACGCTCTAGGAGCTCGGAAGGCTGGCACTATGATGTAACGCTCTTTCAAAGTCACAAGGCAAAGGATAACTTTGGATAGTTATAACAGTGGTGCCCGATGACAGTTGAAGGTGTTGTAAATTATGTGCATCGGGGACACTGATAGCATCAATTTGCACCCTTTTTCCAATTTTAAAGCAGACGTCTGCGATTCCTGCAATTCCATTAGAACTAAGTGTTTGATGACACTAATGGCCAACCTTTTGTGATAAAAGATTATATTGCGATTTGTGGCGTCATCAAACACATTTTTTGCGGAGTTGCAGGAAGCGCAAACGTCTGGTTATTGACCAGTAAAACAGTGCCACGAGGAAAGCTTTGTCTCCTTTTTTCCGATCATATGAGTGAGCAAAAAAAGTATTATTATTTCGACTTACTTGCATCACAAACATTGACGACTACAAATTGAGCAGACTGGTTACTTGGGGTTGCTCTCGATTGGTGAATTCTGCACGTTCCAGATTCATGGAATCAACCGGACGTTCAATGAAACAACCTGGAACAGACTTCAGAACGCTTTCCACGTCCAGACAGAATTAAGAATGGAAAAAAGGAAACAGATATGGATGTTTTGAATGTGACATTCCCTTTGATTGATGTCAGAATTGTGACAGACTGAACCTGTTCAGAACTCTCCAATCGAGCGCCACCCTGTTGTGTTTACTATTTCATCTGAACTCCAAACTGGACAAGGAGTTGAGACAACGTAATAAATAAAAATTACCAATAAAACAAAAATAATGATCAATGCAAAGTGTGCAGCTGCAAAAAATTTTAACTTAGCTACAAGATTTGAAGAAATAAAAGAATCTTATTATCTTATTTCCGGCATTGACTAATGGTCGGGTTCGCTTATGCCAATAGTATCTTATTCTCAGAACTGGAATTTTTTAGCTTAAGCTAATCACTAATAGTAATAGGCTACTAGTACTTCTGAAGACTATTTTATAAGACCCAATTAAACACTCAAAAATGGCGAAACTGTCCCTTTAAAAATGATTTGGTTATTAAAACGTTCAACAACAATTATATTATAATTATTATTCAGGCAATAAATATCACAGTTTACAAAAGATAGGTAGTCAAAATATTCATAAAGTGGACGGAAACAGCAGTAGACACTATTATTCAGAGTGGGATGACATGTTAAACAAAGAAACCAAATGAAAGGAAAAACAACTGGATCCAGTTTGTCTCCTCCTAGAGATTTCATAAGAAAAACAACTGTAAAAAGGTTCCACTAAAACTAAGTGTCACTAATTGCAAAATATGCATGTATCACATGAGTCCTTTTCCTATAAGTGACATCATCAAACACTTAGTTTTAATGGAATTGCAGGAACCACAGACGTCTGATTCAAACTTTGAATGGTACAAATTGATGCTGTCAGTGTCCCCGATACACATAAAAAAAACATTTAAAAAACCTCTTTAGAATCCTTTTAAGTTCTCTAGGATCCTTTCAACAAGATGGCCCTATGTCCACTTTCTTAGGGACACTCCTGTTAGCAGAGCTTATTATCAACAGTAAGATATAGATTAAGAACTTTAGAAAAGTGACCCTGTTAAAATTAACTAAAACTTTCCCTGTCAGTTCTTCATTTAAAATGATTATAAATATACATAATTATATGATAATATTATACAAACATCACTTTATATATACAATAGGACCCAATATATACATAGACATATAAAATAACATAATACAATAGGACACAGTATATACATATAAAATAACATAATACAACAGGACACATAGGCTACATATAAAATAACATAATACCATACAACAGGCAAATAGACTTTGGTGCTTATACTTATCCCATACTCTTTTCAAAGACCAGTTTCCTTAAAGCTATACTACCTCTTAGAATGGACATAACATTTAAAGTCTCAAACTTGGTCAATAAGTGCATACTTTCATCAGTTAGATTTACCAGGTGTCATGACTGGGGGTGTTTTGGGGTGTGGGACTAGGGTGTCAGGGGTTCGACCAACTGGTGTAGGAGAAGAATTTATTTTGATCTGAGAGAGCACCTCATCTCATCACATGCTGGAAATGTGGATGAAAAAATTTTTAGGGGTGTGAAAGGTCCAGGTGACTTCTCCAGGGGTGAAGGCTGAAAAAGGGCGGGAACCACTGTTCTAAGAGGAAGTAACCTTTAAAGTAGGGGTATGCATCAGCTATACTAAAACAAGAACTGTTACAAACCATGTATCTTACATATTAATCAATCAAATAACTAATAGCAACTAATGTAACTAATATTAGTTAAGATTTAAAATCTTTGGTTCCAGCTTTGATACTACCCTACATGATGATGTCTTGGTGACTTTAATCTTAACCAATCAAAACTATCGAAAGAGGTCAAAAAGGCTGCCTAAAGACTACATATAAAATGATATTTGATTGGATAGATCAATCAATAAATATGATAAACCTATCAGTGCTTGAAGTTTGAAAACCTTGAAAAAGTTTGAAAAAAATTCAAATCCCAAACAGAGATTTAAAGCGAAATTGTTGTCATGGAAACTCCAGATACTGATCTTAAAATGTCTGAAACATCATAACTTTGAAATTCTTGAAAAAGTATAAAACCAAGATGTTTGATTGGCCAATCATACTACGTAATTATTAAAGGTATACTACCTCTTAGAATGGACATGAAATTTAAAGTTTCAAACTTGGTTAATAAGTGTATATATTCATCAGTTAGACTTACCAGGTGTCAAGCCTAAAGAATAGAATCTCCATAATATATAATTAATATATCCATTAAACGAAGTAATTATTGAAAAAGGCTCGTTTCTGTTGTATAGTTATCTCACCAGGTAAGTCCACTGATGAACAAAGACTTATTTTAACCATCCTGAGAGGAAGTGTACCTTTTAACTCCATTATTTCTATAAATAGCGAGAAAAGGTTATATCGATATCAATCTATGTTATATTATGTTATATGACAGACAACAGACTTATTTTCAATAAATGCAATGAACAAAAACATAAATATGGTTGGCCTACAAGGCTGGATATAAAATGGCAGCCATTTATTTGACAACCCTCAACTTTCTATTGAACTCTTCCACACATGCATATGTCTATCAACATAATACTTAAGTGTGTGATTGGACAAGCTCATTTCTAAAATTAAAGGGATTGTAAAGATGTTTACTAAATTGTTTATGTGTATTGGGGGCACTGATATCATCAATTTACACCATTTCTATTTCCAATCATACGTCTTTGGTTCCTGTGTTTGATGACATCATTAATCATGAAGGGCCTTGTGTAACATAGCATATTTTGCAATTAGTGTTAGTGGAATTGTAGGAGTCACAGAAATTGAAAATTGGAATGGTGCAAATTGTTGCTATCAGTGTCCGCGATACACATAAAAAATTTAGAAAAACTTCCTTACAATACCTTTAACGAAACAACAAAACTGATTATGGTACAACTACAAGGCTGGATATTAAATGATTTCAATCATCTATTTGACACCCCTCAACTTTCTATTGAACTCTTCCACATGTGCATACTATCTATCAATATGAAACTGTATATCTACGATTGGATTAGTTCATTTCCAAATTTAAGGGGGGGTAGATGTCAAATTTAATCAAGTCTTGTTGGCAGTCAAACAAACACTATATCAACAAAGCTCAACACTGGATCTATTCTTCAAAGCTTTCATGGGTGTTCGTTTTCCGAGATTAGCATGAATCTGAGCTTGTAAAACTTTCTTATCAAATGTATCAGTGTCATATTTTTTACGTATTGAATCACGCAGTTCTTGTGTGACTTTTGCTGTTGCCCGCATCTGAAATGAAAAACACTGGCTAAGGACAAGGCATATCTTCAGTCCAACAACTGGGTGGTGCTTGATTGAAGAGATCTGAACAGGTTCTGTTTCTTCAAATTCTGTCCTCAATCTCAACGTTATGGAAGCAGACATGACATTCCAAATTTTCCCATTTGTTTCTTTATCCGTCATTTTGAAATCTGTCTGCACCTACTATTTATCCGGCACACGTTGAACACGTTTTGAACACTTATCCAACTTATTTTACTGAACGTCCGGTTGATTCCATGAATCCACCAATCGTGCTGCCCCCTACAACCCAGGCATCTGTTTTTGTCTTATTCTAAAATAAGGGGACTTAACTAAGAATATAGCATAATGCTTAGTGACAACGGATGCTTCTCTTCTAAAAAGGGGGGAGGGGTAACTAACCTGTTGTACAGCAAAGTCTTTTTCTCTCTGAATCAAATCACTCTTTCTATTTTTGTATTGTACATCTATTTTTGTACCGTGTCTCCACGCTTCTTCTTCTGCTTCAACTCTGAGATAAAAATAGTCACATAACTTAGATAGATTTCTTTAAGAGAGACACCACAAGGTTTCGTACCTCTTTATAGCAAGCAGATAAGTCTTGAGCACAACTAAAATAGATTTGTAACTAACACTTGCAACCTACGTTAAGCACTTGTTGAATAGGATACACTAAAATTAAGCCAATTAAGGTGCACAGATCTGATTGGATTAAACAACTAAATTTAAAATCGATTTTAGTGATTGACCAATCTGATTGGATTAAACAACTAAATTTAAAATCAGTTTAAGTGATTGACCAATCAGATTACTGACACACTATAATTATAAATTAAGTTTTCCAGAATAAGGCCCCTGATATTCAGATGGGGTATTAGAATTAGATTTAGGACCAGGCTGTCTATATTTTGGTACAGTGTGGTGCAGGGGCAGGGACATCGCAGAATTTTTGGCTATGTCCTGATCGACTCATTGAATAGATTTGGGTTTTTGTCTTGGTCAAAAACCAGCAACCCAAAAATTAGTTGGAGCAACTTCTATGAAAATCGACATTATGCGTCTGGTCCTAAACTTAGTTCCGATATCCCATCAGAATATTACTTTCCAGAGGTAACGAATACAGCATTATTCTATACCTTTGTCTATTCTGTTGATGTTCAAGTTCTTTACTTAATCTATTATTATGAGCTTTCAATGATTTTAACTGGTTGACTCTATTAACTACATTGTCAGCATATTTATCAGCCTGTAAATAAAAAATACATTATCAAGCTTATTTATCAGCCTGTAAATACAAAATACATTATCAGCTTATAAATAAAAAATACATTATCAGCTTATAAATAAAAAATACATTATCAGCTTATTTATCAGCCTGTAAATACAAAATACATTATCAAGCTTATTTATCAGCCTGTAAATACAAAATACATTATCAAGCTTATTTATCAGCCTGTAAATACAAAATACATTATCAAGCTTATTTATCAGCCTGTAAATACAAAATACATTATCAGCCTGTAAATAAAAAATACATTATCAGTGTATTTATCAGCCTGTAAATACAAAATGCATTATCAGCTTATTTATCAGCCTGTAAATAAAAAATACATTATCAGCTTATTTATCAGCCTGTAAATACAAAATACATTATCAGTGTATTTATCAGCCTGTAAATACAAAATACATTATCAGCCTGTAAATAAAAAATACATTATCAGTGTATTTATCAGCCTGTAAATACAAAATGCATTATCAGCGTAATATCAGCCTGTAAATACAAACTACATTATCAGCAAGTAAATACAAAATACATTATCAGCGTATCTATGTAACTACAAAATACATTATCAGCATATTTATCTAAATACAAAATACATTATCAGCGTATTTATGTAAATACAAAATACATTATCAGCGTATTTATGTCAATACAAAATACATTATCAGAATATTTATCAGCCTGTAAATACAAAATACATCATAACTTCCTACCTCTTTCCTTTCTTTAAGAGTTTGTTTTCTCCAGGATTCCAGTTCTTCTTCCATCTTCTGTATGGATTCTTGTGCTTTAGCATGTCGATTTTCTCTGGCCTCTCTGTAATTCATTAATAATAATTTTCATCTAAATTTCTTTCAAAAGATTTACAAAACAAAATTTAAAAAAAGTTGTATTTCAGATTATAATGATTCATGTTTAAAACCTAACACCCTTTTTTCGTCCAATCAGCTTTAGCTAAAATGGCTCATTGCATGGTTAAGAATTTCACATTTCAGCGAATGTTAGCTTCTTTTAATTAATCTAAGTGAAATTTCAGTGGTTATAGCTCATGGAGTAAAGTCTAAAGTTATGTTTCAAATTATGTTAACTTATGTAACATAGATACTGTGAGAGACTGATGATATATATCCGATTATGTTAATTTATTTCAATACATACAATAGATAATATTTATCAGATTATGTTAATTTATGGTAAATAAATACTGTAAGAGACTGATAATATATATCTGATTACGTTAATTTATGGTAAATAAATACTGTAAGAGACTGATAATATATATCAGATTATGTTAATTTATGGTAAATACATACTGTAAGAGACTGATAATATATATCAGATTGTGTTAATTTATGGTGAATACATACTGTAAGAGACTGATAATATATATCTGATTATGTTAATTTATGGTAAATACATACTGTAAGAGACTGATAATATGTATCAGATTGTGTTAATTTATGGTGAATACATACTGTAAGAGACTGATAATATATATCTGATTATGTTAATTTATGGTGAATAAATACTGTAAGAGACTGATAATATATATCAGATTGTGTTAATTTATGGTAAATACATACTGTAAGAGACTGATAATATATATCAGATTGTGTTAATTTATGGTGAATACATACTGTAAGAGACTGATAATATGTATCACATATGTTAATTTATTTTAAATACATACTGTAAGAGACTGATAGCTCGATATTGACTGTCTAGATATTTACTATAATTAGATTTAGCTCTGGAATGTCGTAAGTCATCCATCATCCTGGATTTATCGAGATCATCGCTGTAAATAAACAATCAACAACTAACAATAAACAACTGTAAATAAATAAACAATCAACAATGAACAGTAAACGTATTAAAGGAGAGTGTGTGCCAATTTCCGAATTACCAAAATCATGTCACGTGTTCCATTAAAACTAAGTGTTTGATGACGTAACTAATCACAAAGGGCCTTAGGTGATAAAGCATATTTTGCAATAAGTGACATCGTCATACTGCAGACATCTGATTGAAAATTGGAATGGTGCAAATCAATGCTATCAGTGTCACCTGTCCACCAGTACATGACTGTGGTATAAATCTCGATAGATTACAATGGAGATCATCAAAAAAGCTAATAAGCACATACTCCAACCCAATAGTCAACAATAAAAAATTGTATTAACTTCAATACAATGAACATTGAAATAACCCATTGATCACTGAGTGTTGTATAAAATACAATACAGAAATAAAAAGTAAACAAAAGATCAAAATGTTTCAGAATTAAAAATCTCAATGGGTAGAGGAAAATAAACAGAGAAATAATAACTTACACTAATTCATGTTCTAGAAGATTTTTCCTCGTTTTGTGAAATTTTCTTTCATTTCGGTTGTTCATCATTAAATTCTACAAAAAAAATTGAAATTGCTGAAATAACCCAATATAATTACACAGTATCAAGCAATTTGATTGGATAACTGCGGTCACGTGTATTCAGTTATATCTGTGTAAACAGAATGTAAAATAAAGCTCTGCCCCTTAACAGACTACTTTTATCATTGAGTTTGATTGACGTGGCCATTAAGCAGCGTCAATGTCGTTCCTTTGAACGTCACCAGAGCCGAAATCGACACCTCACTGAATAATAATGTTCAATAAAACAATTTATAACAGAATTCAGACCACGTTCCATGTATTTTGAAAAAATAGTAGGTGTTCACAGAATTCAAAATGGCGGAGAAGGAAAAGATGGTAATAGGTGATGACACCAGGGCAAATGTTTTCTAGACCTGCCCCTTCCATTATAAACGATACACTCACCTTGTTTCTATGTTCTAAACTATTATCTCTATAATTCTGTGATTTATTTAGGTGATGATTCTGTTTTCGTGTCAGTCTGTCAATATAGGCATCTGTTTCCATTTCTTTTAATTCTAGATTCTTTCTCTGTAACAGAAGAAATCAAATTTTACATCCATTTTTTTCACTTATCCGTTAATAAAAACTTGGCATTGGGATTTTTTGTCACGTGCAAACATCTATAATGCATTTTAATGTCATCACAGACAATGGGAAACCCAGAATTATGCTGCATTCAATACCTGCTTTGAAAATAGTGTTTACAACTTTACAATTCTCTACCTGTGTACGTCTTTTTAACTGGTTAAATACTTTTCTATCTGCTGCTTTCTGTTCCTGAAATAAATTGAAAATTAATGCATACCACCTTACGCTAACTTAACATTCCTTAGCAAGACCACAAGGCATAGTAATAGCTTTGTCAAATCCTAATAAGAGCACTTGGGAATCGCTCGATCAGAGAGTTCTGCAAGTTTGTAATTCATGGAATCAATCAATAAAACAAGTTGGAACAAAGTTCAGAACGCTTTCCACGCGTGCCAAAAAATAGAAGGTGCAGACAGAATTCAAAATGGCGGAGATGGGTTGATTTTGAATGTGACATATTCCATACCTTAAAATTCAGGGCAAAATTGGAACAGACAGAACCTGTTTAGAACTCTCCAATCGAGCTTTTTGTAATCAAAAAGAGTTACATACCTTTGTTAAATGTTGACGTAAAAAGGAAGATTTCCATTTAAGGTTTTTCTGTTTTAATCTTTCTTTTCTTAATTCTTCCTCTTCATTGTTTAAACTCTTCTTCATTTCCTGTTTAGATTTCTTAAAACAAACAAAATTCAAATTTAAGAAAGGAATCCTACAGTCAGAAGTCTTTGTTTCCTGCAATTCTACTAGAAATAAGTGTTTGATGACTAATCACTAATTTGCTTTCACATAAGGTACTTCGCGATTTATGATCGCATCAACCATTTAAGTTTTAGAGGAATTGCAGAAACCAGAGACGTCTGATTGAAAATTGGAATGATGCAAAAATTGCAAAAGTAAATATGATGGACAACAAATTCAGACTAAAAAAGGTACAAAGTTTACCAGTTTATTTTGATGTATTCTGCTTTCTTCAGCTAATAATTTTCTACGTCTGTTTTCAGCATCATTTCGCGATTTTTTCTCCAGTAGTCTTTCTTTATCCCAACCCAATATTGCCCTGTGTTGTAATCTTTTCAAAGCTTTATCTTCTTGGCGTTTTGCTTCCATAATATCTAATATCTTTTGATCCTGCAAGATGAGTCTTATTTTAGATGTTTTATTCAATAGCTTTTATATTTAATATAGCCACTTCAGTTAGGTTCTAATGAATCCTTCAGACTCCTTCTTAAAGGGATTGTAAAGAGGTTTCTAAATTTTTTATGCATATCTGGGACACTGAAAGCATCAATATACACCATTCTAATTTTCAATTAGATGTCTGTGATTCCTGCAATATCACATATATAGCCTTGTTCAGTTAGGGTCTAAATCTTGAACATTCGTCTTTTTGATGACACTGCCAACACTGAAATTTGGTGATGCCAACAAAAGGTGTATTCTGAGAAGCATTAGACACTGAATGCACCTTTTGTTCCTGTCACAAAATCTCAGCATTGGAGGTGAAAGTTTGGTCTAATTTTCACCTAACTGTGTCCAACTGCTCTCAGTATCATTATTTCAAATTCTGTTTTTTTTAAAAAAGAAAATGGTTACATACCCTTCGTGGAATACCAATCTCTGTGGAATAGTTTAGTCTAGAAGTCGAAACTGAGCGTTGGGGTCTATTTGTAGATAGTGAACGCTGAGCTCTTGTGGCTGAAAGTGAACGCTGAGCTCTTGTGGCTGAAAGTGAACGCTCTGGTCTTGTGGCTGAAAGTGAACGCTGTAATCTAGAAGCTGAATGTGAACGCCTATGTGTTGGATCCACTGAAGAGCATGATAGACTTCTGTTAACACTTGAACTTCGTTGTCTAGGGGAGGTAATTCCTACTCTATTTCTACTTCTGCTCTCCCTAAAAAAAAATAACAAATAAATTCTAAATATAAACTTTATGTACTGGTAATTCAAAATTGACAGTGAAATAATTTTGGATACTTTTTATAACCAACTGAAGTTTATAAAACCAAGATGACTCCCTCCATTGATATTAAAGGGATTGTAAAGAGGTTTCTAAAAATTCTATATGTATCAGAGACACTGACAACATCAATTTGCACTATTCAAATTTTCAATAACACTTCTGTGGTTCTTGCAATTCCACTTAAACTAAGTGTTCGATGACATCACTGATCGCAAAATATGCTACGTCAAATTAGACCCTTTGTGATAAGTGACATCATCAAACACTTCTTATTTGTGGAATTGCAGGAAAATTGGAATGGTGCAAATTGATGCTATCAGTGTCCCAATACACATAAAAAATTTAGAAAAGAACTCTTTATAATCCCTTTAATAAAATATTGGCCAAGTGACAGAACTTAGTCAGAATTCTTGTTCCATGAAGCTCTTGAACCACCAATAGGCTGATGAATCAACAAGTGGACAAGACTGATCTATTAAAAAAGGTGTTATATACCTGGTAGGTGATTTGCCTGTTTTTCTGGCCAATAAAACTTTACGTAATCTTATACTTTCTTCATGTAGTTCATTAGCTCTAGAAATATTACAAAAAGTTTTATCAGTCACATCCCTCAAAAATTACTTTCTATCTGTTTGAAATATCTGTCAGACATAGGGTTTCGATTTAGACAGAAATTTGTAGACGACATTACAAAATTTACAGAGCAGGTTTTTTCTTTTTACACCATTTGTCCAAGCAGTTCACACGAAATAAAAAACTAAAAAATGAGCACAACTAAAAAGAAAAGTTCATCCAAAACCTAAATTCTTGCTTCTTTGAAAAGTTTAATTTTCATTCTTCAAGCCCTGTTTCTACAATAAATCAGTCTAATCAAAATTAAACCAAACTTTCGCTCAATTTTTTATTAATTTAACAGGCTGCTGGGAGTTTGTGAGAGATTGGTTAAAGCAGATGTCATCACATTAGGTCAAAAGGTTATTTTGCTGTATGTTCAAGAGGCCCGTCTTTAGACCCTAACTGAAGTGGCTATATTACAAATGAGGGCTAATTAAAAAATCTAATATTAAAAACTGAACTCACCTAGCCTCTAGTTCATTATGTGTTAAACGTTTATGTCCTATACTAGTGGCCCATGCAGTTCTCTTTCTCTGTAGTTTCTCTGTACATAAATCATCATCTAAATATCAAAATAGTTCAAATTCTCTTTAACTTTAGGTGATAAGTGTTGATTAATCAAAATAATCAAAGAAGCATATAAATTATGAAATCAATAATGTGAAAGGCATAATAAACAATTTATTGATCAATAATATACGGAAGCTTCCGTAATAATGGAAGAGGCATAATATAAATAATTTAATTGATCAATAATCAGAAAGGAATAATAAATTATTAATCGATTAATAATCGGAGAGGCATAATAAATTATGTAATCAATAAATGATCGTAGAGGCAAAATAAATTATGTAGTAGATTAATGATGGGAGAGGCATAATCAATCATGTACCGGTAATCAATTAGAAATGGCATAATAAATCATTTAATTGATCAATAATGGGAAGGCATAATAAATCATGTATTAGATTAATAATCGGAGAGGCATAATAAATTATGTTATAGATTAATAATCAGAGAGGCATAATACATTATGTAATAGATTAATGATCAGAGAGGCATAATAAATTATGTAATCGATTAATAATCAGTGAGGCATAATAAATTATGTAATCAATTAATAATCAGTGAGGCATAATAAATTATGTAATCAATTAATAATCAGAGAGGCATAATAAATTATGTAATCAATTAATAATCAGTGAGGCATGATACATTATGTAATCAATTAATAATCAGTGAGGCATGATACATTATGTAATAGATTAATAAGCGAAGTGGCATAATAAATTATGTAATCAATCAATCATCAAAAACACATATCTAATGTGGCTCTTAAAAAACATACAAATGATTAAAGGATTTATAAATTAATTTCGTAGTTGTTTTGTTGATTATGATAGTTTTAATGCTGGTAATTATTTCAATTAATCGATTATCATTTTCTTCCAATTGCCCATCACTGGACTGGATCATTAAGCCTACCTGAATGAGATCTAGTAACTCTGATACATTTCTGTTTTCTACTGGATGTTCTAGCACTGGATGGTCTTTCTACAGAGTAGTTTCTACGTCTGGATGTACTCCAAACTCGAGTTGGACTTTTATTTCTATCTTCTATAATCCTACTCCTTTCTTTACGACACAATTGTAATTTTGCTATAATAAAAATATGTTCACAGTAATAAAAAAAAAAATCTTAAATCTATTTGTATATATTCTTGGGATAATAAATTCACTTTTAAAATTTACTGTTTAATTGGAAGAGGGTTAAAAGGATTGTAAATAAGATTTTTATGTGTATCTGAAAGCACTGAAAGCAAATCAGATGTCTGTGGTTTCTGCAATTCCACTAAAACTAAGTGTTTGATGATGTCTCTAATCATGTAGGCCTTATGTGATACAAACACTTATTTTTTGTGGTATTTCAGGAACCACAGACTTTTGACTGAAAATTGGAATGGTGCAAATTGATGCTATCAGTGTCTCTGACACACATAAAAAATTTAGAAAATCCCTTTACAATCCCTTTAATTTCGCTTTGCAAGCGATTATTTCAATGCACCATCCCTTTAACTAATTTTTGGTATAACCTACCCCTTCAGAGTGTCCCAATAATTAAATCATTAACATGAATCTTTCATTTATACTCACTCTGTCTGCATTGTTCCTGATCATCATAGATATTAAAAATGGTACGAAGTGGAATTTCTTCTGGCAGCAGTTCTTCCTGATACTCTGAGAGTGGTTTATACAGAAGATCTATTGGTTTAACACCAAGCTGAGAACACGCCTCTAAAGATCTGGGACTCGTTAATACATATTTACTCTCTTCATATTGATTATCTTCAAAATTATATAAATCCAACGAAGGCACTGGTCGAGACATGATACTAGCCAGTAGCTGATCTGAAAAACATTGCATTTTGATTAAGATAAAGATTACTTCAAACATCTGTTAAACAAAACTTTGATCTGAACTGGGATATCTCAACTAAAAAGTTAAAGGGAAATATTTGCCATTTTGGAGGTTTATTTGGGTCTTGAATATATACGTATGTAACCTTCTGAAGTAATGTAATTCCTTCCAAAATACCCCAAACTAGGAATTTCACTTTCTATCTCTATGTCTTTTCTATATATATGGCAGAGTCTCAAGAGAAGACGATGTCGTCTTTCTAACTTTTAACATGGAAAGTACTGGATAGCACATGCACATGGATTTGAAATCTCAAATTTGAGCTTTGAACACCATTACTGATTAGTTTGGCCAAAAATTCCTGTTTCTGAGATTATGGTATGATTATTCAAACGGATGGTGAAGGAATAAGCTTACAGTAATCTGATAAATATAACTTAGGACCCTGGTACTTAGTGCAGAACTCTCATTTTCAACCCATGTAATAGTTACAACCTTTCAAACAGCTACTTTTTCGCAAATTGAGCAACTAAAATGAATTGAATGGAGTGTTAACTCTACATCCTACTTTTCTGCACCATCAAGCAACAGAAATAAATGAGAATAATATCATTTTGGGTTTTCATCAGATTGTATAATTGGTAGCATAAATGAACATATCATTAATTAATAATTCTTTCTGTTGATGAGCATGTCTTGATTAAGGTGGCATAAAACCAAATAAGTCATAAAAATCATGGCCAAATTCATTAATATGTAGCATCCAATTGCCATTGTTCAGACCTACCTCAAGCCAAGCTGAAAAAAATTAAATGGTTAAACCCAAATCACAGATTAGCATCGCGGCTTGTTTGTGACAAGATTATACTTGTTTCGTCGGTTGCTTCTTTCATGAACTTTGTTTACACTTGCCAACCAAAGAAAAATGAAAATGTCAAGATGGCAGAGAGCAAATAGGCTTCTTTACAAGCTTGATATGGAAGATAAATCTGTTTGGGACTGAATGCAAGCAATGATTCAAATATTAAAGAAAATCTAATACCTTTACAGTCAAAAGATGTTTTAGTTTCTTTAAAATTCTAGCGTCTGTCCACCATTAATCCAACACGCCCTCTGACGGGTCCAATAAAAAGTTAGAATATAGAAAACGAAATTTTGACTTCCTTTTCTAAAATCTTTATAAAAGTGTTTCAAAATTTTTGGAGTATTTCTATGCCGGTCAAGATTTTGTTTTTTTATAAATATAAATGAATTATGAATCGAAATTTGAAATATTTTGTGTTTTTTTGTTTTTTGATCTAACTTTGTATATCTGCCATTTTATTCAACCCGACAGCCTTGACCTGTCAATGTAACATTTTTAAAACTTTGAAGTTGGCTTTTATCTAATGTTGTCATTTTCTATTCATCATGAAATACGTCAAAATTTTTAAATATTTGCAGTGTGCTTGAATATTGTAAAGAATGGCAGTCTCTGTAAATTCAAAGTTGACCTATTTTAGCTAGTGACCTTGACATCTGATGTAAACAAATGTGTCACGTGATCTGTTTGTTTTGAAGCTGTCAAAATAAAAATGGTAAGTATTGAAAACGTAGTTTTTGTTTGTTACCTCGTCTGTTTTAAGCTAAAAAAAATTCTGAGTTTATCGACATATCAACCCTTTCATTCTAGAAGACAATGCAATTGAAAATTCTATTCTGATCATTTGTGAGTGAGCTCATTGGGATAGGATAGTGGTACTATCTGCAGATTTTAAAGTTAAGGTAATGCATATTTGCTGTGTGTGTTTGTTTTTTTTTTTAATCCTTATTAAAAATTTATTTATTAGAAGCAGTGAAGTTGAGTGATGGTTTAAGACTCGCCAAAAACAGAACCAAAATGATTGATCAAGGCTTTTTGTTGGAGAAAGTCAAAATTGGTGATGTACAGCGAGTTATAAATGAATTAAACGATACTAACAATATTACAGTTGATAAGCTTCATAGTGCCTTATTCTGGGCCATCCGCTTTGGCCATTTTGAAATCGTCAAGTTGTTATTGGAACATAAGGCTGATGGAAACTACCACGATTTTAATGGATTCTCTCCCTTGATTTGGGCGGCCATTTATTCTCCAAATGTGGGCATTGTTGATCTACTGCTAGAAAATGGGGCAGACGTCAACCATGCATCAACTAAACGTAGACAGACGGCGCTTCATGCTGCAGCTATACGAGGACATCCAGAAATTTTGGAAACGTTACTGAAATATAATGCAGACGTGAATCCCTTTGATTATTTACATAAAACACCATTACTTCATGCCACAAGCAAAGGCCATGACATTTGTGTGAAAATTTTACTTCAACATAATTGTGAATTAGACATAGCTGGGGTAATACAGGGAGAAGCCATGACACCATTGCTTTGTGCTTTAAACAACAATAACCTCAAAATAGTTCGAATGTTAATCCTTGCTGGCGCCCATTTTCAAAAGTCTGCAATCTACCAGACTTTTACTATTGAGAAATTTTACGAAACTGTAGAAAAAGGGTTGAATCTGGCGGTAAGACCGATAGTTCTTCAGCAACAATGCCGGAATCGACTTCGCCAAGTCTTGAAGCCAGATTTTATCACGAAACTTCAAGAACTGTCAGGAATCATACCTCCACCAATGCAGGGCTATCTGTCACTCTCAGAATTTGACAGCTAATACTAACCAGCACTTGTAAATGAATAGTCCCATCGTATCACGATTACTGGTTTTGACAAGGTCATCAAATAACAAATACGGGTTTTGACATGGTCTAATTAACCGAGGAAGTATGGGGATGTTGTTTGGACACAATGGAACAGTCCTTGCTTCGTACCTAGGCGCATGCTTTCTATGAGTTAAATTCTCATTTCACCTTAACACCATGTCTGAGCAAAGCAAAAAGTTCTTTGAATTTTTTCTATACCTTTTTCAGCCTCAAAATAGTACTGTTAGTCTTAGAATGTCTTGGCGTTGACAAATATATCATTTTTTGTAAGTTGACATTGAAACTAAACACATTTCTCTCTTAGAAATTTCAACTCCCAAATTTTGGCTGAAAATTGTCCTTTGTAAAAACAAATTTTGATGAATTGTGTGTGCTCATGTTTATATTTTTATGAACTTAAAGACATTCTCAGACTATCAGTAGAGTTTTGAAGGTGCAATTCCAATTTCTATCAAAATGATGAAAAAAATACCCCAAAAAACCAAAATGTTTTACCACTCAGACAATAATGTCTTCAGGGATTATAATTAGTTTTTATCTTTACATTCACATCCTTCAATCCTGAATATTTCTTTTATAAAATTTTACATATTTCTCAGGGACAAACATTAAAGCTCTAGGGTTTTCCGAATTTTTTATGTGTAATTTCAATCAGTCCTCTGTGGTTCCTGCAATTCTACCATTCAATATCATTAGCAGCTTTTGTGATTAGTGACGTCATCAAATACTTAGTTTTAGTGGAATAGCAGGAACCACAGATGTCTGATTGAAAATTGGAATGGTGCAAATTGATACTATCAGTGTGCCTGAATTAAGAAAATCTCTTTACAATCCCTTTAAAAATTTTAGATGTTTAAACTAAGACAGGGATTGTTCAATCTGTTGTTGATTTTAAGTGCACTGTAAACATGTAAACAGAGGGACCGCTGTGGATCAGAAAGGTGTGTGTTATGTTATACATGTGTTATGTATAATATATTTTAAATGATCTGAGAGTGTTATGTTATATCATTGTTAGTCTTTCTATTTAGTTATATTAAAGTCTTTATAAGTTATATAACTAATGTCTAGTTCTGTTTTTATAAGTTATATAACTAATGTCTAGTTCTGTTTTTATAAGTTATATAACTAATGTCTAGTTCTGTTTTTATAAGTTATATAACTAATGTCTAGTTCTGTTTTTATAAGTTATATAACTAATGTTTTTTTTAGTCTTTCTATTTAGTTATATTAAAGTCTTTATTAGTTATATCACTAATGTTTGGCTTTGCCCGCCCTCAACCCCACTCCAATTTTCTAAATTTTGTTATCATTTTACATAGTGAGAGAATGACCTGTGAACCCCCTCCACACTCTCCCTCCCCCCTCCCCCCTCCACCCTCCGGGAAATTTTGCACGGCCCTCTCAACTAATGTTTCCTAGAACCTTTAAGTTGTGATTGACATTTACTATGCTATTTGTGAAAGAACAAACAGATAATTAATTAGTGTAAACTGACAGTATTATTATATAGTAATATCCAATCAATCATCGTCAGGTCGTCTGACATTTACTTGACTTCTTTATCTGGTTTTTAACGTTTTGTTATGTTGTCTGTTGACTTGGAATATAGCCCATGATCATTATTATAATCACAGCCCCTTATCAAAAAGGGATGGGACCATTGCACATGACGTATATAGATGTGAGGGGGATTAAACACAGTTCGGAGTACGAAAATCTTTTATTGAACAGAACATTTGATTGGTAGAACCCGAGATTCATAACAATCTCTTCAGATCGTAGATTGCAAGTGGAGTGAGATAGGATTTCCGTTTTTCAATATTTTCGGTGGTCTGTCTTCTCCAAATGTTGTTAAATTTGCCAATCAGTAGTAGTGTTCACAGTTCACCATCGAAATTTGATCCTTCAAATCCATGTGAGTCCAGAATTATCCGCGGTTGAATGTTAAAATGACGACTCGTCAATTGAAGATACTCTGTGATATAAGGAAAAGACATATTATAGAAATAGTGAGTAAAGTTCCTAGTTTGAGGTATTTTAAAAGAAACTATGGAATTATCGTACATTTCTAGTACTTCTGAAGACTATTTACATATATTCAAGGCTAAAATCAACCCACCCCCCTCCCCCACCCCAAAAAAATGTCGTATCTGTCCCTTTAAAGTGCACAAAAGCAAAAGCGCATGTAATTTTATGGTAACTGCAGCGTTATTACGATCAAAGAACTGAATATTTATCAATCAGTTTAAACTACTTTAATAATTTTGTATAGAAAGAGAATAGATATTACCCTGCCCTCAGCTAGAGATCTAACACTAACTAATGGAGTAATAGATAGTATCAAAGATAACACTAAACCAACCATTTATATGCTTTGTGTTATAATAGATTAATCCTAGTGGCTTGGAACCTGTTAGTGTTAGCATGTAGTGACAATGATAATCCGAATTTAAAGTACACAAGTTTGTGTTAAAAGAAATTTACACAAATCTTGTGTAGATTTTTCAACTTCAGTTTATTACGTATTTCACTTTCTAGTGTGGAGGGATATTGTCCAATCTTACAATGGCTTAAACAGTGGCGTATTTGAGAGTTTGAGAGGGGGACCATGCCAAATCCAAAGGGGAGCCGAGGTGTTCAATGCCCCCTCCCCTCCCTTCAATAAAATGAAGGTAATGAAATGGGTGGTAATCCTTGTTTTATGAACTTTCAGAACTTTCAGATGTTCGTAAACTGATGGGAGATGAATGTATGGTACATATAATACAAAAGCAAACTGTAGTCTCTGTCCGCCATGGTGTTCTAAAGTCCATTCAATGTCTATATTCCACCACTATGGTGTACTTAGTCCATCAACCAACCATGATTCGATGGCATACCGTAATGTTTTCAATTAATATAATGATATGTCCTGCATGGCGTACCATAGCCAGTCTAATGACTGTGGTCATATCAAGACGCACTGTAGCCAGCCTAATGACTGTGATGATATGACCCCTATATTGTAGCTAAATTAATGACTATGATGATATGGCCGCCATTGTGTACCGTTATATTTCTAATGATTGGCCATCATGGCGTACTGTAGTTGGCAAATTGACTATGATAAAATATCCGCCATGCACACGACAATGATAAGTCCTCCATGTCGTACTGTAGTTGGCGTACTGTAGTAGGTGTATTGACTTTCATGATCTGGCCGTCATGGCGTACCGTAATGTCTCTAATGACTATGATGATATGACCGCCATGCACACGACAATGATAAGTCCTCCATGGCGTACTGTAGTTGGCGTACTGTAGTAGGTGTATTGACTTTCATGATCTGGCCGTCATGGCGTACC